GCTTGCCAAGCAGGTGCTTATGCCACTGAACTATATCCCCAGCCCCTGAGAAAACATCATTTTCTACTTTTTAAATGTTAAACCAGAACAAATTCAAGAAGTACTGCCCATTTCATGACACACTTCAGCAGTACAAATAACAATATATTCCATAAAAAACTACGAGGCTGGGCGTGGCGCCACAAGCCTGTAATCCCAGCACTTGGAGGCTGAGGCAAGAGGACCACCAGAAGCTCAAGGCCAGCCTGTGCTGCGTTGCAGAGTAACTTCAAGGCCAACCTGAACTATGACATGGTGAGATCTTGTCTCAAAAAACAAAAAAATCTTGAGTAATTCTTTCATTTGCCATCTATATACTAACAATAGATATCAAACCTCTTATAAAATGCTTGTATGTAGGGCTTCAAAAAAAACAGCCTTAAAAGGATAAAGATGTGATATGTGCATGTGCTAATGAATATACTTATTCTACATTACTAGCAAACACTAATAAAAAATTTAAGACACTAAAAAAAGGTCTTATTATGTGGCAGCATCACATAATGGACACCCAGGTGACCTGGCCAATGACAGGTCTGGGATTAGGACACTGGGAGCCGTACGAGGAAGGACTGTCCATCTCTCAGCTCCCTGTAATTTCTAACCACCATACTAATAATCAGGTCAAACACAGACACTCAGAGACACTAGACTCAACATTCCTCATTATACCGGGCAGCGTGGGCTGTTCGTGTATTTTTAACAAAGTGTACACGAAAGCATTTTACTATGGAAATAATCAGCTCCAAGAAGCATGTGGACGTACAGTTGTCCTCAGCAGCACCACGTCGCAGTCCTTGACCGCAGCTCTGACGCAGGTCGCTTTCACCCGCCACTCTGGCATCCAGTAGAGGAGGAGGAGGAGAAACCCACCGGTGCAGATCACGCCCAGAGCCACGATGGCGAGCTTCCAGCGACACAAGTTATAGCCATAAACCTCCTGCCCGGGCACGGTGACCACAGGGTTAATCATTGTGGGACACACAGGTAAGTAAGTTTAGAAGATGTTTCCAAGATGGACATTATTATCTTGTCACATAAGCTATAAATGTTTTCTCAATCTATAATCTACTCTTATACTTTATTTCTGACAAGATTGTGGTCAAAATTATACGTTTAAGTACTTAAATGCATTACTTTATAATTAACATTTTTAATAAATTTTTTTTTTCGTGACACAGTATGCTCATATTTAGTTTTTCCCACTGACAGTATTTTTATAGTTTATAGTGTTACAACATTTCTAATTTCATTCTTACATACTGTACCTTTTAAGTTCTTCCCAAAATTAACACTGTTCAGGCAGATCTTTGTTAAGTAACCTCTTTAATTTAGAATAAATTCAGATTAATAGAAAGCTGCAAAAACATTAGTGTTCCTGTATATCCCTCGTTCATCTTACTCTGCTATGAGCCTCCTGGTACGTTTGTTAAAAATCAAAGGATCAACACTGCTGCATAGTTAATCTCAGTTCTAGGATTTCACCAGTTTTTTCACTAACTTCTTATTTCTGTTGTAACGTATAATCCAGAATTTAAAATTGCATTTAGGTAGGACAGGTTTTAAATTCATTTTTGTCCAAGTGATTTACTAATTGTCCCAATACCACTATGATTGATCACTCTGCCCAAATGAGCCAAAGGAAATGCTCCCATCAACTCACCCAAGGGCTGCCAGATACACAGGTCAAACGCCCCGTTAAATTTAAATTTCAAATAAGCAGGAGTAACTTGTCTCTCATATGTAACCCCTGAGATATAGTGATATAAAGATTTATTCTTGGTTATCTGAAACTGATGTTTAACAGGATGGCTTGCATTTCACCTGACATACCTCCTACCCCCCAACAAAAGGTTAACAAGCTGTATTTTAATTAAGCTAATTTTAAACATTTTAACCCAAATTCAGAACACTTTTTTTTAGGATTATATTTAAGTATTAGCTAATATCTTAAACCAACAAATGCAAAAAAAAAAAAAAAAAATTTCTTTACTGAGTTTATTTATTTTCAATACCAGGGACAGATCAAATCCAGGAGCACTCTAAAACACCTTACCCAGCTCTTTTTATTCCTTACTTTGATACAGTCTTACTAAATTGCCCAGGCTGATCTTGAATTTGTATCCCTGCCTCAGCCTCCTGAGTAGCTGGGATCACAGGCATGCACCACTGCACCTGGCTTCCTCTGAATTGTAACAGCTGACAAGTGAAAAAGGAATGCCAATGAAAAAAGAACTATGTATCAAAACATGTATGTAACATATACACATAGAGATTTTATATTATATAATCCCAATTCAAAAATAGAAAATGACAAAGCCCGGCATGGTGGCACACGCCTGTAATCCCAGCACTCAGGAGGCTGAGGCAGGAGGATTTCTATGCGTTACATAGTGAGTTAAAGGCCAACCTGAACTACACTGCAAGCCCTTGTCTCAAAAAAACAAAACAAAAAAAAGCACCCACAGGATGAGGAAACTCCACTCCCCCAAATAAACTGCTTCTTCACACTCCCGGGCTAAACTCTGCAAGCTGGTTACCATTTCATCTTCTTGACTGTGGTTGATAGTCTTCTTTTCTTCCTTGTCCATATCCACGGTGATTTGGAAGGTCTTGTCCTTCACAACAGATAACTGAGAAGAAACAGACATACTGGTGAAAAGATTTACATTTTCTGACATCTGTCTATTAAACACAGTGCTCTAAAGTGACCTGATAATTTGATTTCTTCCCGAAGCAATGAACACCTGATGGGACAGCTCTTATAATACATGCATCAAAGTTCAACTGGTATTTTAAATAGTCATCAAAGTGCTAGCTGGTTCTTCTAAGGACAGTTTCAGTGGCGTGACAATTCTTGAACCTGCAATACTACCAGAAAACTCGGAATATTACGTTAATATTACATTAATTTCAGCAGCCTGGACCAATTAAAATTATTAGACGAGGTAGTGCAAAATCGTTTTTTATTCCTAGGTTCAGAGAAGAGCTTAGTTCAATCACCTTGAGCTAACTCTTCTTGAACTACAGTAAAGAGTAATGTACCGTAACTGAAACCTGCCCGAGTCTCTCAGAGATTATTAAATTCATTATTCAACGAACACTGACTGCGCACTGCTCCACAGAAGGAACCCTTGGCCAAGATGTGGTGACTAGGGCAGGTATACTCCTCCTGAAGAGTGCTCAATTGACCTACCTACCCCCTAGTCCATGAAGTGCCTTTCTGATCCTGACTACACATTGAAGGCTTGTCAAGGGAGAAAACTCATTAAGTCCACTAACACAGTTTTCCCTTTTATTCTGTATGTCAAATACTAAACATTTAGCTACCTAAGAGACTTGCAAGGTGTAAAATGACACTTTTACTAATTATTTATTTGTTTTGTTTTTTTTGAGACAAGGTCTCACTATGTAGTCCAGGCTGGCCTTGAACCCACTAAGTAGCCCTGGATGGCCTTGAACTTGTGGCAATCCTCCTGCCTCAGCCTCCTGAGTGCTGGGACTACAAGCCTGCACCATCACACCCAGTTAATCATTTTTTATAAATATTTTCAGAAAAATATTCCTTCACACGTAGTAAATTCAACAGTATGTTTGATTGATTTAATAATCTCTTTTTTTCACAGAAAGGACAGCTCAGGACTTGTTCTGCAGTGGTACTGGGGAAATCCAGCCTGCAGAGTGTGGAGTTGCTAGGGCAACAGTCTCCAGGGGATCAGCTTCCTCTAGGACAGAGGTGGCTGAAAACAAATTTGTTTGACTTCTCCAAGTTTCTCACAATACCAAGAAATCCTGACTCAGTCAATACACATTTCCATGTAAACCACAAGCAGTCCTCTACCTAGCTTTGTACAAGATGCTACTATTTTTGTAATAAATGATTGGTAGGTAAACCACGCTAATCACAGCCAGCATTCTGTGTCCACTAGTCCAATCAACTACGGGCCAAATTATTTAAGGAAAAAAATAATGAATATGTACAGACTTTTCCCCATTATTCCTTTAATCTATAGTATAACCGCTATGTGCACAACATTTGTGTTGTATTGGGTGTTATAAGTAATCCAGAAGTCATTCAAAGTATATGGGAAGATATGCACTTCAGATGAAGTGCAAATACTACACTATTATAAATAAGGAACTTAAATATCCTCTGACTTTGCTTATCTGATGAGCAATCTTCCAGGTATCAAGAGACAACCATGTCTAAAACAGTATCAGTAACCAATAATGTGGCACCAGTATAGATAAAACCCACACAAGCAAATGCACATCCAAAATAATTTTACAGAACATTAAAGGTCTTGCTCTGAAAAGCTTTAGATTGACTGGATCATGGGTGTGTGATACTGGGTTAGCCCACTGATTAGGTTAGCACAGTTCTCAGTGTTGGTGATGGATTTACTGAAGAGAGAAGAGCCACCCTGGGTATGGGTGACACCAACCAGTAGTATTGTACCCTGGGTGGAATAAAAAGGAAAAGGAGGGAGGTTCACTGCTTCCAGCCTACCACACCATGAACCACTTCTCTACCATGCTGCCCTGCCTTGGAGCCAGCCGAGTGAAATCTATACAAGATGTGAGCCAGAATAAACCTCTCCTCCTTTAACTTGTTGGTGTCAGGTGTTTTGTCCCAGCAATGACAGTCAGACAAGCCAACCTCCACAGAATATAGCGGACACTACCTTTCTCATTTCAGATCCCATATTTCTACTCATCTATCCAGCATACAGCAGTATGAATATGATTGGCACTCAGAAAACCTGCTCAATACATGAATATATACCCTGATGCTAAGACAGCGGTAGCTATTTTTATGTGATAAATGCAAAGCCAAAGTGCCAAATGCAGAATTTTAAACTAATCCCATACATAAAACTTGAAACTGCTTGATGTTTTATCATCAGCCATATAACCACTAAAAATAATGGACTCAGTGCCACTGTGGAATAGTAGTCTTGAGGTCTATCTTCTCCAAAACAAGCCACACTACCATATAGAGTCCTTAGGACAATGTACTAACAATTTTTTCATGGTGTTTAGGCCCTAAAGTGCACTCCAAGAGTTGTTCACTATGGTAATAATGATCCCTTCAAATCAATATAAACTGAGGCGGCAATTACTCTCAAGCACTACACCTGCTGCTGCTTCTGCTGTAAACCATGAAAAAATGCAAGAAGCCCAGCTTCTTCCCCTGTGAAAAGGATCAGCAGGCAATGCCTGCCCATGCCTACCTAAAAGATAAGGCAGCAGCCTTGTGCCTGACACCTCCCTATAAAGAACTGTATGAGACTAGGGCTCACACACCTTGGTTAGAGATTTTAGAACCCAAGGATCACAACTCAAGGTTCACTAGTCATCCAAATGTTATCTTCCTTTCTCATCACACTACCTATACACTTCCTGAAGAGAGAGATTACTTCAAATGTTGATATGAAGAGATTTCTGCTCCCAACCATCACGGAGTAACATGATTCAGATCTGCCTACTTTCCCCAAACCACCCCCAAACAGGCAAAATACATCACTGTTTCCAAGGAACGGGATAGTACGCAATGAAGGAAAGTTTAAGAGTTGTTCTTCGGTTTTCCCATTTTCCAGTCTAAAAGGTGTTTCCCTGCAAGGAGTCGGAGCAGAGTCCAGGGGAAGCCAGGGGCCTCCCCAAAGTGGACACAAAGCTGAGAGTTCAGGGAGGCATCACAGCAGCAGTGTCAGAGGTCAGATCACCAGGGGATGTGTACAAGGAAAGACCCTTAGGTCTTCAGCTAACTCCTGACCAGCACCAGGAAGAGAGAGAAGGAAAACTCAACTGACCAAAACAAAGGAAAAAAAAAAAAAGAAAAGAAAGAGACAAGAAAAAATAACAAGTTGACTGGCTGAAACCTAACAGTATCAGCTGCCACCTTAGATATAAATGATCTAAACACAGCAATGAAGCTGGGTGTGGTAATGCTTGTGATACCAGCACTCAGGAGATGGAGAAAGGAAGGTACAAGGCTAGGCTGGATAACACAGATCTGTCAATAAAACAAAACAGAAAACCTCCAAAGGCAAAGACTATGACTGTATGTTAAAACACAGGATGCTACCTGTCAGAAGTCTTTTATTCAGTTCTTGGGAGGCAGGGGTTTGCTGGGGATTGAATCCAGGGTCTTTACACTGAGTTATGTGCCCAGCAGTTTATCACTTTTGTTTGTTTGTTTGTTTGTCTAACTGTGAGATAGGGTGGGTGTTTCTAAATCCCTAAACTATCCTGGCTTAGCTTGAATTTGAGATCCTCTTGTCTCAGCCTCCCAAAGCGCTGGGATTATAGGCATGGACCATTATAAAGGCTCCACAAATTCACTTTAAATGTTAAGGCACAACAAGGTTAAAAGTCAGAGGAAAGAAAATATACCATGTAAACACTATTCAAAATCAAGTTGGAAAAAATGTAGTCATTTCACAATGAGAAGGGGGTCAATTCATTAAGATAAAACAACAACCCCAAACATGTATGCATGTAAGACTTTCAATATATACAAAGCAAAACAGAAACATGAAAATGCAAAGAGAAATTCACAATTATCGGAGATTTCTGTTCACTAATCCTCTCAAAAATAGACAAGTAGCTTACAAAAACCTAAAACCTGAACAACACTAAATCAACGGGAGTGGGCATATACAGAACACTCCACAAAACTACAGGATAGATGTTCTTTTAACATGTACACAAAGCATTTGCCAAAGCTTGGTGTGTAATCCCACCACTCAGAAGTCTGAAGCAGGAAGATCACAAATTCCAAGTCAGCCTGGCTACATAGTGACTTCAAGGCCAGCCTGGACTACATGGTGAGACCCTGTCTCAAAAAAACCAGCAACAACAACAACAACAACAAAAACCCTATACAATGACTAAAGTCATAAAAACAATGTTCTTCACATGATAGAATTACATCAGATACCATAACAAAAACACAGGAGAAAATTCCTAAATATCTGGAAATAAAATATACTCCTAAAATTTATGGGCCAAAGAAATTAAAGAAGAAAATACAAAATGCATTGAACTGAACTGAAGTGAGGATGTAACGTATGAAACTGTGCAGGAAGCCACTACGACAATACTCAGAGAAAACCAAAAGCACCGCATCCAGCATCTACAGGAAGAATAGTTCATCCTCAGTACCCACCTGGACAGCAGCAGACGGCACAGGGGGGACACAGGAAACTACTAAAGGGAAAAAAGGTCCTGAGAAGAAATCAGTGAAATAAAAAATAGAAAAAAGCCAATAAAACCAAAAGCTGATTCTTTGAAAGCCAATAATCTCTGGCTAGACACATCACGGAGTTCCAGGTGGGGAAAGATGGAAATTACTAACCAGAGAGTAAGAAGGGAGATGTCAAAAAGATGCTGTGGAGCAGGAGGGTAACGAAGGAATTTAATGAATAATGCCACACATGCAGGTCTGAAGTTCTCCCACATAAAAAATTTTTAATATATAAAAAAAAGAATCTTTACTGCTCAGGGGGTGGCCATGAATGGGTAACTGCTGAAGCTGAGCTGAAAGCTGAGTGAGGAGGTACACGATTCATTGTACGAACCTTTTTGCATTTTAACATACAAACACTGTCCATAACAGCAGTTCTGTACA